TATTCTATTCTATTTCTTATTTCTATTTTATTCCACTTCTTTTTCTATTCTATTCTATTCTATTCTATTCTCTTCTTTTCGCTTTGTAAGCCTCCCGGAGTCCTTCGGGATTGGGCGGCCTATAAATTTACTAACTAACTAACTAACTAACTAACTAACTAAATAAATAAATAAATAAATAAATAAATAAATTACCCATCAAAATGCAGAAATGCAGATATACTTCCGTACTTACCTAAATGTGGAAAGAGATCAGCATCCAGCTGATGCTTTTGAGTGCACAGTTTCACCAGTCTCTGTAACCGGCTCCTACAGAATGAGTATGGGGAAAAGGCTGTGGCTTTCATGAGGATCCTGTCAGCCCTGGGTGGATCTGGGGCGTGAACCTTGGTAGGGTGCAAGAGAGGCAGAGGTCTTTTGTTGGCCGATTGCCTGGCTTGTGCTATCGCGTGCGTGGTGGGCGCCCCTCCCTGCATTGGTAGGCTGGTATTCTGAGGTTGAGGTGACTTGCAGACCAAGCCCTGCGGATGCACTGCTGGCTTTAAAGACGTTGGGAGAGGTGAGAGATGGGCGTGTTGCTGTGGTTGCAAAGGCGGCTGCTGCGAAGGTGCAGGGGCGGGGCTAAAGTGCTCTTGGCGAACTTTCTGAATCTCAGTTTCTTTCTGGCGTTGACGGTTTTGGGCTAATTTGCTCTGCAACTTTTTCTTCACAGCTGTCCCTTTCTTGAGCTCTTCGTCTTCCTCGTTGAAAGCAAAGGGGTCTTCCAATTCTGCTTCCAAGTAGTGGAGAGGAAGCCGGGCCCCTGGTGGAGAGAGGGACATCCCAACCAGGCCATTGGACATCTTCAAAGCCAGTGGAGGAACTGTCAGGCTGAAGGCTATTGAATCCATCTGATGCCGGACTTTTACCTCTTCTGTTGGATCGTTCTTTTTCTTCCTCTCCTTTTTCGGTAAAAAGCCAAGAACTTGTAGGTGACTATTGCAATACCTTTGAAAATCAAAAGCAAAAAAATTATATGTATTTTTCTCACAATATTTATGTCTGAAACGAATCAGGAAGAAAGAGCTAATCATCAACACTTTTGTCAGTCGAGCTAAACCTGAGAAAAAAAATATCTATTTATATTTGTGGTAAGACTCAGTGAAGGACATATCAACTGTCATGCTCAACTCTTCAAAAATGGAAGCAAAACATGAATTACAGTAAACATTTTATGGGAACAGTTAGCATACCCAGAGCTCTGAACATTTGCAGTTATAACCTGCATATTTAAATGATGCCCATTTGAAAGGGAGGATGGGATTGATTATATTTAAGTGTAACAGAAATCTTCCAAGACAAATCTTTTTTCATATCCTAATAAAAATAGCTGTGTTAGAATTAACACATTGTGGAAACTTAATTCTCTAACACTTCAGGCTTATGCTTGAAATGAAGAAAAGTGTAAAAACTGTCTAATTTAATAGCCTGTCGCAGAAAATTGTTTTAAGAACGGAAAAGTCTATCATTTCAACTTTACCAATTCCAAGAGAAAACTGTGCAATGCAATATACTTGATGTCTGATAAACTAGGAGGAGGTTGAGCTCAGCCCCTAATTCACAATGAAATTTATCAGGTTTTCTTATACTTCTAATTTTTATAAATTAACCATCCTCCCAGGATTGTTGTGATGATATGGATATAGAAGAACTGAAAGAATTGTGTATGGTGCCTTAAACTCCTTAAATGGTGAAATGCCAGAGTACCAGTAGTCACCTGGACTACTGTAATGCTCTCTACATGGGGCTGCCCTTGAAGAGCACCCGGAAGCTTCAACTGGTCCAGAATGCGG